TTCAACCCAATGCATACCCGTCCCACCATTAACACTTTCTGACTTTCTGGCTGAGCATCATTGCCCTTTAAACATTACGCTACATGCATCACCTTACCTTTTGAGATGGCATTTGACCTCAGCTAGTTACTAACCTACTTACTAAGATTTTATGACATTTCTAGAAAAAGGATAGATAATTATGATTGATGATGTTCTTGGAAGCTGTCAAACAAAACATAAACATGGCCTGGGCAAAAAGAAATATTGCCAAGACCCTAGTGGTCATAGTAGCCAAGACCAGACAGCGGTTCAACAGGACAGGTTCCACTCAAAACAGGCCTCGCCAAGGTCGATCAAAGAAGTTGAGTGCACGTGCTCAGCGTCATATCCAGAGGTTGTCTTTGGCCTGCATTGCTGCAGAGGTTGAAGGGGTGGGGGGGTCAGCCTGTCAGTGCTCAGACCATACGCTGCACACTGCATCAAATTGGTCTGCATGGCTGTCGTCCCAGAAGGAAGCCTCTTCTGAAGATGATGCACAAGAAAGACTGCAAAAAGGTTTCTGATGACAAGCAGACTAAGGACATGGATTACTGGAACCACGTCCTGTGGTCTGATGAGACCAAGATAAACTTATTTGGTTCAGATGGTGTCAAGGCAGGGCAGTATTCCAACATGATAACGACCCCAAACACACCTCCAAGACGACCACTGCCTCGCTAAAGAAGCTGAGGGTAAAGGTGATGGACTGGCCAAACATGAATCCAGACATGAACCCTATTAAGCATCTGTGGGCATCCTCAAACGGAAGGTGGAGGAGTACAAGATCTCTAACATCCACCAGCTCCATGATGTCATCATGGAGGAGTGGAAGAGGACTCCAGCGGCAACCTGTGAAGCTCTGGTGAACTCTGTACCCAAGAGGCTTAAGGCAGTGCTGGAAAATAACGGTGGCCCCACAAAATATTGACACTTTGGGCCCAATTTGGACATTTTCACTTGGGGGTGTCCTCACTTTTGTTGCCAGTGGTTTAGACATTAATAGCTGTGTGATGTGTTATTTTGAGGCAAATTTACACTGTTATACAAGCCGCACACTCACTACTTTACATTGTAGCAAAGGGTCATTTCTTCAGTGATGTCACATGAAAATACAGTATATAATCAAATATTTACAAAAATGTGAAGGGTCTATTACTTTTGTGAGAAACTGTATGTTTCATGTCTTGTGTGTGTATATTTTGTGTTACACTACCAATTTCTGCTATCCCATTCCTGTAACAGATTACTTCTTTATTGCCCAAAGCTTTCTATTTTTAAAGAAAGAAAATATACCATGAACCAATGCACACATCCTTTATTTCATTTTCTGTATGCCATGCCATTACAACACAACCATGATAGTCAGTGCTAACATTTTCATTCTCAACTGTGTGAGTTAGTCTATCACACCCTGTCTGTGCATGGAAAACTGTGATATGGTACAGGATAATTCAGTTTAACAGCTCTTTACATTGGTATGGTTGATTCAGTTTTTTTTCTAACTTGCAAAATAAACCCAAAACAACCAATCCTAAACTAAGAGAGGCATATGTGTTTGAACAAAGACCAGTGGTGGAGAAAAAAAGATGTAAATAAAAAAAGATAAAATGGTGAGAGAAGTATTCAGGCACTTAGAAATACTCTCGGGTCCTTGGCTACACTGTGCTCCATTACATTGTACATGCATTTCATAACCTATCCTGATCCTGTCATGAGGAGTATGAGGTTGCCTCTACAAGACAAGGCTAAGGGGTGTAGCAAATTCAAAAACAACTAATTAAAGGGATTTCAAGTATTTCACACAACATCAACGTTCCTATTTACATGTGATTCTAGTGTTCGCTACCTACGTATTCTCATTGCATATCCCCTAAGATGTCATTTTAACAACCATTATTGTACAAATTCTGTGAAACAATTGAAAGGAAAGTTCTCAATATATCAGCAACACCCAGTATCCAACATGTCCCCAGGCATGTGCAGGATTTCCTCAAGTATTAATGCTTTCTCTGGTCCTATGTTTTAGCGGGCTCCAACGGCTGTGGTGGCAGGGAAGCCATTTCAGAAAATGACAACATCATTTTTCTCTTCACCCGCTGCGGGGAACATTACTGTACACAGTGTTATTAATGGTAAATGATGCATGCATTGGCAGTTTGGCTTGAATAGGGATGCTTCCGTTGATTTGTAGTGACTGAGATGATCGTATAGTCTACCATCCCCATCTGTCATCCCCTTGGAATGGAGTGAAGGCAAACGGTAACAATTACCAGTAACAGCATTGACTCTGAAGGACTGGAGTAATCACAGAACACCAACAAGTCCACTGAAACTGACATTTAGTTTTGTGCTTACTTCTGCTTAGTACAGATATATAGTACAAAGGCTGACTCTGTTTGACAACAGCTAACTAAAGACAACAGGGACAAATGTAGACTTCACAAACCTAACGGCAGAATTAGTAGGCTTTTCCTAAGAAACAATGTATAGACTCAAATAATCCCCCTAAATCATTACTTATGACCCATTAGCAGTGTGTGGCCCTGTCCTCTGCTTCTATTTTCTTTTTTTGCAACCTCTGCCCTTCTGCCCTGGCTGATACTGTAATCGAAAATCACTCATTTTCCCACAGGTAGTCCGGTACTTTGCTCTTGAGTCGCTGCTTAATGTAGGTATGTGTTGCAGTACACTGGGATGTATTGTGGCAAACGTGGTCAGGGGGTATGAACCTGTGGTTTGTTGAACCGGGGCAGTAGGGGCCAACTTTGAATGTTGTGCTTACAAACCGCAACGGACAAATCCTAATCATTCTGGCTTTAAAGAAGGTACAATAACTGCAACAGCCTGTCCACGGATATCAAACCATTACCAGAAACCTTAGATTGCAAAACCTCAAATATGAACCACTCTTTCTCACACTTTCTTTGACAAAATAACCTGCTTACTATCTTTTTTCCAGAGCATTCAGCCACAACTCAATCCTCATCTGCATAGGGGGGATTAAATTCTGAGATAGTTCAGTTTTTCATGTGACCTAAAGAACCATACGTGTCATACATACATGGGGGCAATTCTGACAAACCTCGGAATATATTCAGACATTTTTTAACACCCAGTGTTCTTGCTTTCTACAATATCTGTGCATGGCAACTATGGTATGTTTAAGGTTTGGAAAGTGTGTTTACAGCAAATAAACTATGGTGAAGGTATGGTTAGGGTGAGGCAACTAAAACACTTAACAGGTTCAGGAAAAATTGGGATTCCGTTTAATAATAAAGTAAACGTTAATTGCAAGTCTGTAACAGGACACAAACTCCCCTTTGCTGCATTAAAGTCAAACATGATACACACCTCCATCACCCTGACCTCCACACCTTTACTTTTGATTCACTACCTACATACCACTCTACTTCCTGCATTTGTACTGAACGTAGGTGAGGAGGTGCGGAATTGTCCCATGTGGGTATAATTTCTGCCGTTGGATATCCTCCTTGATCTTTCTCCGAACCATCTACTGACTTCTGGTCAAATAGTTTGGTCTTCCTAATCAAAGCTTTAACCAATTCTGGATGTTGTCCATTTCCTGCAGGGTCCTTTCTGTTCTTTGGGATGTCATACACTAAGGGGGTGGGGGTCCCGTATTTAAGATGTACCAGTAGAGATCTTGCGGTGTTGAATGGTTTGTGGTAATATCTCCATGTGTCTTGAAGACTCTAGCAACCCAGGAATCACTGGAAAGCTTCTAGCGGTCCTCATTGATTTAGCAGTGTCCATCCTGGTCTTCCACTCCTGGGAAGTACCATTCCGATCACCTATTGTCACATGATCGGAGTTCCCTACTTTGGTCATGTTATGACAACTCCATGACAACTGAGCAAACTCAAATGGAGCTGATGATGACTAGAGATTAGTCAAAAGCTCTGGAAAAAGCTAGTAATTGGACCACGAGTTAAGATGATTTTGTAGAATTACTATTCTCAAGGTCAGAATTAACTGTCTAGCTCAATTTTAGGGCCCTTTTAAAAAATGTAATTGAACATTTACTGTCCCATTTCCCTTAACATACAGGGTCTTCATCAAGTCCTTTACCATACATATACTGTAGTTACCTGCCATAGTAATTTATTCGCAAAACCAATGGAACTCTTGGCCGTATTTGGAGGAACCTTTGGAATGGGCCAAACCATCAAGCCGGTTTCATCTCTGACCACACTCATTACTGTTGGGTGTGCTTTGTTGCACCTGTAACCACACCCAATAGTGATGTCAGGGTCTGCTGACACGCCCGGGAGTACACTTGTACATCACTGCAGCAAGGTGAGAAGTTCAACCAATGGAGGTCAGCAAAAACAAGATTTTTAGAGGATGTCTTTACTCTTTAAAAGGAACAAACTCAAGTTTGAGCAGTTGAGCTGTGATTTGGAAGGATTTTAGGATTTATTGTGGGACAATAACTGCAGGCTATCAAGTTTTTGGTGTTAGATGTAAGAGAAAAATTGCTATACATAGCACCATAAATTAAAGTCTTTTATACAGATTTTCAAATTCAGGATTTCTGCATTATATGAGCATATTTTGTGGAGTTTAAGTTCTCCAAAATAAGATTAAACACAGACATAGATAAAACATGCAACCCTGTAAGGATGCTTTTGTAGGATTATGTCTATGTGTATTTATATAATATATATTATAAATATATATTATAATTATATATTATATAATTACAATGAAAAATGTAACATTAAGTTTGATAACATTTAACAGGTTAGTTAAAAGGGTTGTCATTGCAAGGCAAATAAATCACTATAAACAAACATTAATCTCTGTATGGTGTAAAATCAAATAATTTTCTTAAATGTAATTTACATATAACCACTAAAACATTTCTGGCTTGCAAATGTCCAACTTTGCTAGATTGTTAGTTGATGGTTTGCATGCCAGGACAACCTTTCAAAAATGTAAGGGCATGTACATCTTTATTGAACTGTTCGCATATAATGACTTTAATGTATTTGTGGATGGTGACAGAGTTGTTAATTGCAATGGCTCACATCTGACGTGTGCTGTCGTTGCCACCATGACAAAAATGATTTGCTCAGTTTCTCATTATAACAAAAGAAATCTCACTACTTCTCTTGTTAGAATTACATATCGCTCTTGTTATTACTACATACCAAATGAGGATTTTTTTGTTGTGACATCACTTTATCAAGAAACTTTCTTGATATTACACAGAAGGGCGTAGGTTTGGTTTCATATTATTATTACTGGTATGTTGTACAAAATTGTTTTTTATTTCCAATGTCAGCAATGAACCTTTAAACTCAATAAATAATGTTTAGTTTATATATCTTTACTACAAAAGCACTGTCTTTATCTTTACTATCAGTTCTAGCGTCTATGTTACCTGTCAAAATTCAATTCAGGGCAAATAAAGTCTATTGCTTTTAGAGCTTGTTGTGAGTGCACAGCAATAACTGAAGGCAACTCAGGAGATCATATTAACATTCTGATCAACTCAGATGTTTTTCCAGCTGGATTTTGGGGGTTGGTCACTAAGTAGACTGGTTTTAGTGGTAGTTCAGTGAATTACTAACCATGACCAAGACATAACGGTTGGTTGTTTAGGTATACATTGTTAATATGCAGCAAGGAACTGATGTCGGCTACTGTCTTCTTCTCAGGCATTGACTGTATCTTTTTCTAGCATAATATGGAAGTTTTAATAAGCTAATTGAATGTTCTTATAACAAAGGTTTCTTGTTTTAATGGAATAAGTTTTATTGTGTAATAACTAAAAGATATGACAAGGTGGTAGGTCTCAACATTGGTACCAGCGTAACAACACAAATAATCCATGCTGTGGGCTATTTGTATCCACATTTGCCTCCACAGAGTGCATTATAGTTCCATAGCTGCATTTTTGAAATTGTGGTGGATTGTCCTGCTTACAACATGGCCACTTGCTACAATTAAAATACATGTTTTTTTACTTAAAAATTTGGGGCAGTACATTAAAAGGAATCTTTGTATTGCACTGTCTTTGTCAACCTTGTAATGAACGTTACTGTTCCTCAAGGAGAAGCTGTAGCCTGGAATAAACTGAAACCAGCAGTGCTCCAGCTATGAGAATGTAAACATAATACCAATGACATCATTGCATTTAAGAAGTGTGGTTATCTGCACACCCTCTAGCCAACCAGGATCCTATGGATACCCATGGAAAAGAAAAAGCCTTGACAATGACAAAAATGGATAAAGTCACAAGTCAAAATTCTAAGATACTAAGTCATTTCTTAGACTATTTAAGGAGTATCTACGCCACAAATTATTATTTTTTTTGTAGTAAATTGATATCAATACTCGTCACACATACAGTAAAGTACTTGTCATTTTGTTTACAGTTAAGCTCATAATGTGCTGTTTCCACCTCAATATCTGTTTTAGTGCACTACACATTGAATTTGAACAGTTTTAACAACTGCTGCTTTCCATTCCTTGTTTATAAGTTTTGGGTGGCTTTTGTGCTATTACCTTGCCAGAACTGCAACTGTTACCCATGGTTAGAAGATGACTCTTAATGGTGACATAGCAGGTCATGTTGACAAGCTAGCTGAAGTTAGCTAGAACAATTTTGACTATATCTTAATTTTGTCTTCAAAAGTAAAGTATCTCGTAACTTTGACACATTTTTATTTAAATCATTCCTAAATTTTTATTCAGTAATTTTCTTGACAGAAATGGGCTTCCATAGTTTCTAGTATTCTATGTATCCGTGATGTGACATGGTTTCCTAAATGTTGAGTGAAATTTTGCCTACTCTTCTCAAATTTGTCTTAACTGTGATCTGTCTCTGGTCACCACAGCTCAACTACTAATTTATACCTCAGATCTCCAATATCCAAGGCTGTAAGATCTAAAATATGACACAATAAATAGATCAAATAGTCTCTATATGCAGGCCATGGAGAAATATTGAAATTTCTGTGCAGAATTTTTATTTAATTTTAAGGGGTATGAAAGATGCACTTGGTTTAGCAAGTGTTTGCAAAGCTCAATGTAAATTTTATCGTGGGAAAATAAGATCAGGGTGTCATGTATTACAAATATATTTCTTTTATCAGATAATCAATTAAAATTTTCATCTAAAAAAAGCCTTTATCATGTCAGTATTTAAACCTGAGATTAAAATTTTCAAAACTCCATATGCAATTTTTTTTTAGAAAAGACAATGTTGGTGTTATACTATTGGATTCTGTGGCCTCCCTTCTCATCTTATCTCAGCTCAGTCATGTACAAACCCTGGTAAGGACGTATGATAAAATTTCCAAAATACAAAGATTTCTCAGCAGATTTGATGCTCACATCACTAAAAGTTTGAAAGAGTAAACACTATACATGTGAGGCCTGTTACATAAACATTTTGGTGTTCATTAGGTTTGTGTGGGACACAGTCACTTTGACACTGCTGTCAGACAACAGTGCTTATATCGTCAGCCTCGTCAGGTTTCTTGGGCTTGCTGGGGAGAGACTTGAGGTACTCCAGGTGGCGTCTGGCGTCCTCCTGGTTCTGACGGACATAATACACCACATATGAAATGACCATGGCAAACCAACCGAACATGGTTACCAGCATAGCGTAGTCTGTGGTCCTTTTGGCCAAGAGACAGAGGTCAATGTCCACCGCCAAGAAAGGTCGTCCCGCCTGGTCACGAAGCTCCGAGCTCCTGCAGAGAACCCTGGCGGCTGCTTCATGGTTGTGGGCCATTCCGCCAATGGCCTGCTGGAGGGCACAGTCACAATGCCAGGGGTTATCATCTACAATGACGCGGGCCTTGAGCCGAGCGAAGGCATCCTTGTGTACGCTAGTGATGCGGTTGTGGGAGAGGTCCAGCACCTGTAATGTCGCCTCTATGCCACTGAAAGCGCTTTCCCCTAAAGTCTCCACCGCGTTGTATGAAAGGTTAAGCTCCCTCAAAAGCCTGAGTCCATGGAAGGCTTGATCAGGCACGACGCCTATCTGATTGTGGTCTAGCCTCAGAAGGACAGTGTCGACCGGGAGGCTGGGGGGGATCTCTTTGAGGCGGGACTGACTGCAGGTGACGTTGAGGCCATGGAGGTGGAGGTCGCGTTGGCAGATGCAGCCCTTTGGACACATGCTGGCCGAAGGGAAGCACAGGGCCATGAGGACAAGGCTCTGAAGGAGCAGGCACATGGGGATGGAACGCGACAGCCACAAGTCCAGCAGAGTCATACTGACCGGCCGTTAGCAGCATCCCGCCTGGGGCCACAACACCGCCACTGGAAAGTTACATGCATCGCATAGTGGCGACTGGTCCTCACTGTCCGCCCAATGGAGATACTGGAGTGTAAACAGATGTTGCTGCTGTGAGGCCTGAAACAAGCAGAAAGACAGGGTGAACAATTAAGGTTCCTGCATTTTACCCAGTGTTCTCAGTTTGTCATTATCACCATCATGGGCCCTTCAAATGTGGATACTTGTGTTACTTTGATGTCATTATTGACAATTTGACGAGAGCCCGTATTTTTCTTGGAATGTCCTGTTCAAGTCTTTTTTGTTCCCGATCCAAGTCGTTTAATATTGGGTGTCTGCTGATACCAAGTCCAATCCATACTTATATTTACTCAAATACTGATTACATATTGGACACATTTGTCATTTATAACTGGCTAAAAGGTGAAAAGGCGTTGGAGAGATGAAAAATCACATCCCTGAACAACCTGTTTTCACTCCCTGTGAAGTCATCACATATCATCAAGAGCTCTTGGCATCACTTTTTAACGCACCGGCTAGCCCTTTAGCGTAAGTTTTCAACGCTACAAGCATTATGTCAGGTGAAGTAATAAAGAGCGTCGAAGTCCACACAGGCTTATAGAGAAGCAACATATTGTACAAATAATAGAACCCTTTTGTTTAATTAAGTTTAAGTTTCCTTAAGTTTAAGAGGCAACAGCACCAGAATGTACTCAAACATTGAGAACTTTGTGTGTGTGCGTGTGTGCTAACAATAGAAAAATGATTTTACTATGTAGTATATATAGTAGTCTGCATGTCAAAGTATCCATGGGCAACATACTGAACCCCAAATTGCTGATGGCATAGCCATCAGTGTATAAATGTCTGCTTCTGATAGCAGAGCCCCTTAGCCTCAGCCATCAGTATGTAATGCTTAAAAGTGCTTTGAGTGGCTGGAAAGACTAATAAGGCGCTATACGAGAACAGACCATTTACCATCTCATCAAAAATTACTAGCAGCTTCCTGCGTTGTTCCTGTGTATAATCTTGCTCTGAGTGCTTGTCATAATAAAAGAATGTGTGCAGCTTTAATGTGAGGAAACGGGGAACAGATAATCACGTTTGCCTTCTCAAACTTTGTGTGTACGCAGTGCCAATTAGAACTTTCATTTTGACTGTTCCCACGAGTTACATACATTTTGTTTGTCACTCATTATAAAAATGGAATTCCTGTCTCAGGCAGACACTGCTAAATTTGCAGTGTGATTTTAATGTAAGATTCCTCTCTCTGTGTGCACAAAAACCTACCCTTTTATTAAATACCTACAACAGGACTTCATTAAAATGAATAAAGCAACTTTGATATGTTTTACAGGTGAATAGCTCTGCATTTGGAAAATATAACTTGACTAATAAAGTATCTTTCACTGAATGGTTTCCTACAATATTAAATAGTGTTTTATCAGCACACAAGTGGGCGTTTTGACAGATGTCACTGCCGGGGCAAACATCTGCCTTCATAGCCGGTACCTAGGCTAAAAATGGCTGGATTTGCCTGGATCACGAGTCTGTAGATCAGCTCATGACATCCTAATTTTCACTTTAATCATAGAGTGTAGATCATTTTTATCATCATTATTTATTTTCTTTAACTTATTAACTACATGATTTGAGATGACTTACTCACTACAAGACAGGAGATGAGGTTGTAATCTGCACACATATGCACAATGGTTGTGATCCTGGTATGTTTCATACAGTATGTGGGATATACTGTTTGCATGGTTATGCAGTTGTAATTAATTAAAATCTCGTTATCCATGTCTCTGATTCGGATGCAGCAGTGTGAGAAATTAATTGAAATCAACTGTGTGGATCACAAAATAAGAGCAGGCAGCAGTTTAAGTTAATAGAATGAATTCTAACGTCACAGTCTGTCTGCAGATTCCTCTCAATGTCAGATGTGTACTGCAGTGTGAACATTTGCTTTATATAACCATGTAATGTACACATAGGCATCGGTGGGATGCACCTTTAAAAATAGATTAGGTGTCTGAAATCAATTACAAAAAATTGGTGGCCACCCCACCCCCACCATAGGTAAGCTAGGTTAAAGTCTAGCTTACCTATGCCTAAAAACCTGTCCATGTAATCGTATATATTGCATCTTAAATAAACAAGATTGTAACCACACATCTATCAAATGTATTGGGGGAAAAAATGAAATAAGGTTCTTATTATAACACCTGCAGATTCAACAACATTCATGCACTTGTAAGGAAGGGCACAATATGATTTATGAGCTGTTAACAAAGGTGACTAATTCCACATCAACCACCACACAGTAATCTCAGACACATTTTATTTTTAGAGTGTGTCACAGTCTTATGGCAGATCACAAGACAGCACAGAGACAGCAGCTCTACAACCTGTGGTGCTCACATTCACCACAAACACTGCTTTGTTTTTCATACCACCATCTACAGAAATTAGCACATACTGTATGTGTTCAACTATTCTTTCTCTATTCATTGCAATGTTTCCATTTCCATATGTGCATTTTGAAAGCTTTAACAATTACTGTTCTGCGAACCTGGTAGCTCTTTACCAGGAAAAATATAATGGTGCACAGATGGTCCATACATTTTACAGTCTGAGTTTGTTTGGAATACATAGGGTCTGAACTGAAAAGTAACCTTTACATTATGATTACATCTTTGTAAACTGGAAGGTATAAACAGATTTATCTTGAAATCTTTCTTTTATTCTTGAAGAGAATGAAATGATATATAACGGCTGCTCTTTCGTTTACCACATCGTAGGAAACAGACACTGACAGACTGTGAAAGGCTGTTTACCACACATACAGGCATCTTCCATTTCTCTGTCCTGGCACAGGACAATAAAATAATGTCTAACAACAGCCTATGAGGAAGTGAAGAGGCGAGGGATCGCCTGTTTTCTGCAGCTCCCAGGCCCACATCAAGCTGTTCATCCAGCAGCTGCTCTGCCACACGAGGCCAAACCTGTTGTTGTATGGAAACAGACTTTGTGCTGGACCTATGAGACCTGCATCGCACTTACGGGAGATCTGATCTTATGACATGTGGTCTCATTATTACTGTTCATTAAAACTGCCTCATAAATTACCTCAATGCTAATGATTTGTTAATCAGGAAGAGTCAAGGCACAATGGGAATAACAAATGCTGTAAATGGAACCACAGGAAGTGGACAAAATTGAAGAATTATATTTAAAAATATCTTACATACAATTCAGATTTAATGATGAAGCTTGGTTTTTGTAAAGACTTATAGGTTTTTATAGGACCAGACTTTCTACTATTACCATTAAGGCCCCATCCATTAAAACACTAGTTTTAAAAAGAAACCCACGACCCTATATGCAGGATAAGCGGTTGACGATGGATGGATGGTTTTAAAATGAAAATGATCTCTGTCCACACCAGCGTTTTAGCTGCGTATCAGAGTTGATCTCCGTCTACATTAAAACGACTAAAAATCGAGTGGCCGTTCACGTACACTGGGCATGTGCATGCCAGTGTGGTCTGTTCCGTAGTTACAGAAGATTTGACGAAAGAATAAAAAAGTTCAGAAGAAGAACCAAATCTGATTTTTTATTTTTTTTTTGCATGGACCAATAACGAGCTGGGGCTGTTACTGAATGTAACACGGGAGTTAAAAGCAGCTGTGGTGGCGGAAAATAGACTGGAAGTCGTTGCAAAGTAAACGGCGACTTACACTGTACAAGTGTAGGCAGGTAAGTGTTATTTGCGCAGTAAACTGTGTTTTTGCTTTGCATGACTTATAAAAACCAATCAGAGAGCCAAACGTGAGAATCTGCGTCATCGTTTCTAAAGTCCTCCGTTTTTGCCCGTCCCCACTAAAACACTATCCCGCACCAGCAGTGCTTTCATACTTCTCCGTTTTAGGTCTTTGTTTTCGCCTTTTTAGTCTGGGCGGGAGGTGCAAAGGTAGCAAAAAAAGGTCTCTTTTTTAAAACGAAAATGATCCTGATGGATCATTATGATCTGATGGTCATAATGATTTTGTGACTTCAGCTGCAGTGTTTTGAAACAGCATGGATTAAGACTCTAGAGCCACTGAGCCAATTTTACTAAACCTGTATTTGTTATGGTTGGAACTGTTTCAGCAATAGATATTCAATGTATTTACTTTATATATTATAGCCTCAATGTACAATAGTCTGCATTGGTAGTGGCAGAGCCTGCCATTCTAGATTCAGATTGCTTTCACACACACGGTTTTAAAGATGAAATAATTTACGGCTAATGCAAATCCAGCATGTCCTACTGCTGCTAGTTCACATTAACAGTGTTCAACTGGTAAAACATTTGGTGGCTTTTATTGTGAAGCAGTTAAAGTAAACACTATGTATTTGTCACACAAGTTAGCAGTGACCACAATCATTCTTCAAAACAATAGTCATTTAGGTCATTTTTTCCACCAGTGTTAATATTGCAGGTAGTAATGGAACTATAATCAGCCACAGTGAACTGTTAGACGAAGAGCTGCAGGTGCCAGACTGCACACCTCCAACCCCTCAGCAAGGTAAACAACTAACAACTTTACTGTGTCCTGCTGTCGTGTGGAAAACAACTGGTACTGTGTGCAGCACAAAATCAGATCACTGTGGCAATTATTGACTGACATTATATATATATATATGTGTGTGTGTGTGTGTGTGTGTGTGTATATATATATGTGTGTGTGTGTACTTTGCTTCCCCCACAGTAATTAGGGGTGTCACCAAATCAACCAGGACTAAAATTGCTAAATGCTAATGCTAGCATACTAGCAAACTCACAATACTGATGCTGATGCAAATACTGATGTTTTAACAAGTAACATAGACCATGTTCACCATCTTAGTTAACTTGCTAGCATGCTAACATTAGCTCATTATACAGCTTACAAACACAGCTAAACTCAGCTGAGGCTGATGGGAATGTCATCAGTTTTGCAGGAATTTGGTCGTAAACCAAAGCATTGGACAAACAGAAATATTGACCCGATGAAGGTGCTTGATAAAACCATAAGGACCAAAAATAATATGATATATCATGACGTGTACATGGATGTCTGTTCCTAATTATT